CCAGTTGTTTCCTCAGGAGTCATTTTGTCTTTCTGTATTTTATTTTTAGACCACTAGAATTATTTATTTCAAAATTGTTTCTAAAATTATTCTAACCTCCAGGTTTTTCACATATTGTATCATTTCTGTCATTGTGAAATCTGTTATTACAAGGACTCTTATAATGACTACATCCTCTTTTTTTGTTTGTTCAGTGTTAAATATAATCATTTTTTACTGACATTTCAGCAGGGTTGTATACCTTTACTATTATTACTTATTTAATCCATATTATATATGGATTATATATATATTCACTGGTCGGCATGAATAACTATTTGTTTCTATATAAAACCCTTTCAGTGTCTTATGTTGCTCATTTTTTCCCCTCATCTTTTGTATTTTTGTTCCAATAATAGTTTTTTTATCAAATTAATTAATTTATTAATTGCTTACACAAATTCATCAGTAATGTGTGTTTTTTTTGTCAGACATATTTCATGCATGTTTTTTAAACATTTAGGATTCCGATTCAGCCTATTAAGCTATATATTTAATAACTATATATTATTTTTACCAAGAAGTGTTTGTGTAGGTGAAACAAATAAAAAGTTTCTCATCATATGAAAATTTGAAAAGAGTTTCGTTCGTATCCCCCACCCCTAATCCTAACTCTAATCCTAACTGCAAACCCCACACTTTATTAGTATATGCCCCTCTAGATAACTTTACATGTAGATGTCCTTAGAAGGGGATATACCATTAAAATGGGGAGCACTGGTGGGTAGAGATAGGGTTAGACAAGGTCGTGTTTACAGTAAGTACTCTTATCGAAAAATGATAGATATAATATTGTTCTTAAAAGTAAAATAAAATTAAATACTTAGGCACCTTACTAAACAAGAAAAAAATTGAAGTAAAATTATGCGTTTTTTTTTTATCCTAATCTGAATGCAAATTTCTGTAGCACCAGGGATTATACAGGGATTTACTTCATTCTTTGTGAAAAGGAAGCGTCTTATTTTTGATAAATTACACGTCTTGAAAGATCTATTCCAGTATATTTAATTTAGTAGGTTCAGGTGCAATAGGATTTAGTCTGCCAAGTTCAAAATGTATGTGTAAAGAATTATGACCTTAAGGGGCTTTAGAAAGACTGTCAAGCATAAGATATTTTTAAAAGGGGAATAGGAAGGTGTGATCACATGACATGAGATATGAGATTGTAAAAAATAAAAAGCCAAAGTTCAAATGGGCACATGTTGTAGTGCATCATACTTGATGTGTAGGAGTGGACGTAATAGCGAATATTTATAAATAGGCTACGTGGGCCGCCGACTTTTTGTGAAGTAACCGTTCATTTCCTGGCTCGTATTGCGTTACTGTAGTGTAGCCGTTAGTCATATCTGTTGTAATACTCGATATATGGGATGGTCCTTTGAACTGTGATATCTTCTACTATAACGGCTGTTATTGAAATAAGTAGCGCAATAGTGAGGTCTGTGTGGTGTTTTGGAGGTGAGTAGGATAAAGTTTTGTGTTACGACTGTTTACTTTGGTGTATACATTGAATTCCCTATTGAATGTTCTCCTTGGTTTATTTTATAAAATCAATACCAAATGTTAGTAGGTAGTTCAGTTGATACCAGATTGATTTCTTATATGGTCTTTACATCAGTGATCAGTGAATGCTCTCTTGTGATTGGCAGGACTACTAAATTGACCCCCTTCAATTAGATCCATTTCATAACATGCTACTACTTCACTGTGTATATATGCATGATTTGAAATGGATGCAAATACCAAATGGTTGTAAATAGCCTGGTGAGCTAACTCTTGGCATTAATGGGGTGTGAAGTAATACAGAATGAAACTAATGGTTCCTGTAAGTACAGTTAGTGTCAGTAGTTAAAATATAGTGGGGCTTCTTAGTTGTCCTACTTAATGACTCTCTTCCCATCAATCAATTTTAATGTTTAATACTGGTATTGTCTGTGATTCATTTGCATAACACAAGGCAGATGACCTTTGTTGGCCCCTTTCTCCATTATACCATGTAATTGTTATGTATACTAGTAGTGGTTCACCTTGATCTCAACCTGACATGTTGTAGCATACACCTCTTTTCTAAGGTCTATGGATGTAGTATTTGGGCTGGTCAATAAAACAAAAGTAAGACTTAAGCAGATTCTTTCAAGTTCATAGGTCGTTTCTGTGGTAATGTTTACGATTCGTTTGTGTAGTTCTTTTTTCAACATTACTGGCTTATTTAAGAGTTGAATATTTTGATGAGAATTACTATGTGGATTTTTGTTGAGACTCTGAGTTTACCATGGCAACTGGCTGAATGCAGACTGATTAAGTTATAAAAGTTGTTTAGTCATTTTTATTTAGGGGAATGGATTCACATATTGATTTACTGTCTAATACACACTGTAACAGTTTGTTTTATCACCAGTACTTGTGGCACTCTCAGAACACAGAATTTACCGACAGCCTTCCAAAAACACTTACCTTGCAAGTGTTAAAATGAGATGTGCATGTCTGTGATGTTACTTTTAAATAGACGAACTAATGTGATCATATTGTTCTGTTTGCTCTTTAGATAGTGTGTAACTGTTAGTATTCTGCTCATTAAAACACTGGAATGACTCTTGTTTATGGTATTTTTAAGGCGGGCAATGCTTTTCGCCTTCCCTAAAACTTTAATACTGCTGAAAACTACTGATATTTTGGTAGATGAACTTCCTGTAATATTCCTGTAATATTGAAACTCGATATGATGTTGGTGTTATTTGAAACAAAAATGCTACTCAGTGGAAATTTCACTGCTTAGGTTGGCCGGGTTATGGGCAAACTCAAGATCTGACCTATGACCCAAGACAAAGTGAATTGAATGATAATTATCACTGATAGCTGTATGTACATTATTCAGCTTGTAAAATCTGATCGTGACCAGCGTTTGTAGGTTCAAATGAAAAGTCACTCACCCTAGCTGCTCTACACTGCATACCACATTCAATCCTAAATTGGATTAATTCCCTGTGTTTACAGACAGATTATACTGCACTTTTATATGAAGTATTAACCATTTGGTATTGCTGATTGTGAATCTTCAGGTAATGTAAAATTTGCATGTTATACTTCTTGTGATGAAATAGGATGTGAATGACTCGTTGGCAAAAGCTGAGAGTTTGAGTACTTGTATGTTATTCCATTGCATTAGCTGCACTTCAGTCAATTCCAGTATAGATAATTCAGCAAGGTATTGCAAAGAAAATGATGTCCAATGAATAAGAAAAAAAAATCTAGTCTGACCAACCCTGGTATCCTACCTGTTTTTTTCTTCGGCCTAATGTATGTATAGTGTTTGTAAATGTAGTCGATGATGAGTAAAAGAGTAATGGATTTCGCCCTGAGGCATGGACAACAGCCATTCTATTATATGTGATTGATGTGAAATACTTACAAAACTACAAGCATCAAATGATGGATTTGAGTTCTTGTTGGAGTGATCAAGCTGCTATGCCTAAGCTGTACGTGAACACCACTATTGTAACTTGTTAAAAAATATTACATTATTGACGATTAAATCAAATACATCAATAATTATCATTATGACACATTATTATTGGTGTATATCATCAAAATTACATTATTGAAGTATAACTAGTGTTCCTGGCAAATGTAATATACTAAGTAGGATTTTTATTTATAGAGGAAAATAATTCTTTCCTGCTTCATAAGTAAAAAATCCAAATAATCCAAATATTTCACCTACGTTATGCGTTTAATGAATGTAATTTATTATTTGTCATGAAAATATATTAATGATAGGATTAACACATATTTGTTTTATAATAAAAATGCCGACAGTGAAAATAAAAGTGAGGTATCATTTTTGCTTCTTTAACTTGTGCTTGTATCACAGGAAATTGCTTGGAAGCAAGTGGAAAATGATTTATAAAAAATGCACTCACCATGAAAAAAGATTCACTTTAAATAAATTCAAGTGAATCAAACTAAACTAAACTACACGCCCTGTGGCTCACCCCCCCAGTTCCCCTTGCAGCTGTTTCAAAAATTTTCCCAATGTGCATAAATGTGCCCAATGAATTAATTTAACTGAAATTCCAGTCTGGTTTTTTAGTGAGATGCATGCACATAAACAATGCTGAATAACTGTGGCCATTATAAATGTATATTGTCACTTCTTTATTCCCTTGGTATATGCATATTAAGTTGCACCATGCATTGAAATTAGGTCACTGAAGTAAATATCTTCGATTGAATTCTGCATTTTTGAGTTTATACACAATATCTTCTGATATTCAATAGTGACTGCAACATCTTTACAATTTTCCACAGCAGCATTTTTTTTATTTCTTCGTCTATAAAATATGGCATTCGCTCCTTAGAAACAGTCGTTACTTTGGGCAGTGATGCATAAATTATTTGGCGTACTGGTTCATTCACTTGTTACTTGATGTGTGATTTGATTTTGCGCTTGCATTGTCTGATTATAGGCTTGAATTTTTAACTTGTTTTTTTTTGTTTTACTCTGGCGAAGGTAATGTGGATTTTTAAAAATGGTTATTTCTAATATTTATTCAGCTGAACTTCCCAGCATGCATCATTGTCTACCCTTGACATTTAAATTCAAACTAGGCTTCGTTTTCATTTGTATTATGTTTATTTAATTTAACTCAGTTGAACATTACTCAGGAATAAAATAGTACGGAATTGTGTCAAGTATTGTAAATTATCATCAGTTATGACCTTCACAAATAATTGACTCTAATCATTTTTTCAAAAACAGTTTTGTTGAATACACGAATAAAATTAATGCTAAATCCTTTTTTTTAATGCAAGAATTATGAATGTGCTATCTGTTATTTTCACAATGACCTTCAATTTTATAAGATGAGATATCCTGCAAGCAGCCATACTGTGTTTTCTAATGCTACTAAGGATGTTGAATTGAGGCTTGTCAGGTTTGTTGACATTATTCCAATCCTCTTATTTGGAAGTGATTATCATTGATGTCTTGTGAAAAAAGACAGTTGCAGTCCACGTCTATACTTGTGTTTTTTGCTGGATATTCTAGTATATTTTTAAATGGTGTGACAGGAATGATTACCTCACTGCGATCCTCGTTGAAGTATAATATTTGAATCCGAAGGTTAGTGGAGGAATCTGTTTATGTAAAGGAGGTTGTTTGTTGCCTTTGAAATAACTGTTATTGAAACTCAGTACGAGGGTTGCGTCTGATTCACTCTACAATGTAGACAGTGAATGGCATGAATAAAGAAGTATTATGTTGTCATACTAAAAACCCTTGTCTGTCAGGAAGATTTTCCCTCCTGACCTGAATTCTTGCTTGTGTGAAGCAAGGCCACTGAGATGTGCTGTTTTTATAACACTGTCACTGTCAGTAATACATTTTTTGAATTATTTCTGAATTCTTTAGCTTTGATCATGAACAAGACCTTGAATTGGTTTGTGAGTTACGTTTTACAAGACCTTTTGTGTTTCTTATTTGAATGCAGCTTTATGTTCTTGTATATTCGAAAGGGTGTGCAGACCCGACAAAATATAATGAAATATAGTCAATGTTAGCAATTTTTCTCTTTGAAGAGTAATCTAGCAACTTTTTTTAATTACAGTTAAGCATTATGCTTGGTTTTCTCGTTGCTCTGTCACAAGTATTTTGTTTTAAATACATGGTTGATATAATTGTAGTGATTGATTACCAGGAATAAACTAACATTGATTAAATCAACTTAGTATTAAATAAATCTGATATTAATGAAGTAAATATATTTGTGTGCGCGACTGCAGGGTAAGGCACGGATGTTTTTTATTCTCAACTTAGTTGCCTCAATGTGACCCAACTTTGGGGGAAATTTAATACAATAACCAAGAATGACGTTAGACCTTCTGTAACTGAAATTTAATTTGTGAAAGTGGATTTTCTCAGGGATTTGTGCAATGAGGGAGTCGCAAGTGTAACAATTGTTGAGTGGGGCCAATGGATATTTATTTCTCTATTGGAGTGCCTGATAAGCCACTTAAAGTGCCACTAAACCTTCTAATATTCCAAAGTAACAGTTTGGTGGGCCCCTCAGCTATCAAGTATCACTTCTGTGGTCTTGCCACCTGTTCCTTAGCTTTTTATCCTTGGGAATATCAAATATGGGAAATATTCCTAGCATCTGGTATCTTGATATCCAGTCCCTTGCTGCTATGTACTGCCCTCCCATTGGTGTATTACGTATGTATATGTACGCATTTAATATATGCTTTAGAAATTATTATTTTTATTAGTTGAAATTTCCTCCGTTTGTTTATGGAGCTCTCTTTTTAGCTCCATGGTTTGTTTAAGGATTTCTCCCAGGGGAAAGCATGCTGTGGCAAATATTTGTTGGTACTGTTTCCCAAGTACTATGCTTGGTACTAAGGTGACAGTGTTTACAAATCAACCCTGGTAGTCATTTGAGACTACAACTGCTTCAACAATTAAAAAAGGATACATTAATTATTTTGCCGTGATTGTTTGAGCTGAGAAAGTGAAATAAACAATCCAAGAATTGATTTTAGATGTTTAAAGATGATTGGTGAATGTTTTGTTTAATTTTGAAAGAGTAATATTTTTCTGTGATATCCCTGACTGTCATGATCCAGGCTGTATTCAAATTTACATATTGATAATCCTGTAAATCCTAATGCATATTTTTTTATTTTTAGCATTGATATAATATTGTAAATATGACCTTTGTTCTTCTTTATGTATCAATTCAAACTGTTATTCATTTAATTAAAATTTTATATTTGAACTATTCACCCCCCCCTCCCCCGGATTTGTATGGTAGCTACTGATTCTTCATATCATATGATGCTTTTAGAGTTGGGTGAATGACCCCTGGATATTGATGATTACAGAGAGGCCAGTGTTAGGGGTAGGCACATTTGTAGCGCTTTGACATTTATTCTATACAACAGGTATTGAACAGGATTCTTGTAGACTTTTCATGGTGCCCATCTACTGCTATCCCTCTACTGTTATTGGGTTGCCCGTGGAGGAGAGGTTTTTTTATGCAAGTACTGCATTTAAAAGGGTAGCTGTCATTCCCAGGGATGGCACTATATAGAATCAGGATACATTTTTGTTGTTTATTCTAATTTTAATGCAAGTTTATTGGAGATGATGGAGGTTGTCTCTTATAGGTTATTCATTTGAAGAACAAATAGGGAAGAAAATATAGTCAAGTTACCAATCAAGTTGCTGATCTAAAGATGTTAATTGACTATTAATGCACTATTAAAAAATGAATTCACAATTCTGTTGTGACAATAAACAGTTACAGAGTATTTATCACAAATTTGCTATCAATTTTGACGTTTGCACAACTTGACTTATTGTTCAAGCACATCTTTCAAACTCCTATTTAGTTTGTCTTAATTTTTCTTCCTAGCTATTAACAGTTTCTTCATATACTTTTTCTGTCAACAATTATAATATATATTGATACATTTTTTGAGGAAATTTCAAGGTACTGTATGACCTCATTGTATTTTATGGGTGTATTTTACATTGTTGATATAAGGTATTTGTATTTTCAGAAAAATATTTAGTATGGCTGATTTTTTGCTGCTGTATATAAACACACCTGTAATTGTAATACTCCCACATTGTTCTATTTTTAAACTTAAGTATGATTGATTTGTTTCTGCAGTCCGTAATTACATGTGACCATGTATGCGATTCCGTTAAGCTGCTGCTGCTGTAGCCTGAACCGCAAAGTTTTACACAAGCCTGATTGACAAATGAAAATTTGTATTCTAAGTCATTCGCTGAATTAATGAAGTTTTTTTTTAAGATTGCCAGAGTTTGATACAATGTAGATAAGCTGATATCATGGTTAGGGTTGCCCATAGTGGAAGGTAATGAATCAAATACAAGTAAATCAACTGTGAAATTGTTATGAACAAGGCAAGATTTAAGTCTGAAATCGCTACAAATAAATCAGCTGTGAAATCAGTATACACAAGGCAAGATTTAAGTCTGAAATCGTTACATCTATGTCCTATTTCCAGACAAACTAGTGACTTTAAATCTTAACAAGCATGTTCATGACCTTTAACCTCTGCATGTATTATAATGATTGATATAAATTACTTACATAACACATACCTTTTAAATTTTTTAAAAATAATTTTAGCTGTCAGCTATTCTTTATAATGATAAGTAATTCCAATCATTGTAAGACACTGATACTTGTATAATTACTATGCTAGATTGGTTGTTCAATGCTTAAGGTTCTTTTCATATGTCCTAATTACGCTAAATAATTTGAAAAACAAATTGTAACTGCTGTACATGCCTTTATTTATTGTAAATAGTGTATTGTTTCAGCTTCTATTGATTATCTCTCTGGACTTCACAACCATAATGTTTTAAAAAAAACAAGACTTATCATATTAACTCTATTCGAATCGCAATTCTAATAGATGGATGTATTTACTAACGCTTGGAAATTTAGTCAAGCCTCAAATCTGGCTAAGCCTAAGGCCGGCCTGCTATCTTTTCTAATGTGAAACCATTATGATAAGGTCCAAATATGGACCATAGACATACCTCTGTCGATCACATAAGTGCATGCAGTAATAGAGCAAATACATTGATGTAAATTGATAAAAGTAAAGGACAAGTCGAATCAAAGAAAACTTTTTACCTTGAAGACTGTTTAAATTGTTTCGTCTATCTTGAATAATCTTGCACAATTAAATTCACTTAAGTTTAAGATTAGATTATCAATAAAAATTAGAGCGACTGCTCTTTAATTCACTAAGAGAGAGTGACTATCCAATGCTTCCACTTTCAAAGATTTCAGGCTGAGTGATCTTACTAGTTAGTTTCCCCCATTAGATTATAAACCAATCAGTTTTAATTATGGGTCTGGTTTCAGAAAGCATCTAAGGACTGCTTGCTGGCTATAGGGAATTCCCGCAGGTAACTTCAGACTGACTCACTGAGTATGATAATGATATCAGAATCCTCCCATTAATAACACCATGAATAAACATTTTTAAGGTTGAATTATTTGAAAAAAAATTATAAATTTCTTAAGTTGAGTTTCATTCAGTACTAACGTGATTTTAGAATCCATAGGCATTTATATGGTGCCATATATCCAGAGAACTTCTCATTGGTGCTTTTAATTATTACCCCTGGTCACTGGGCCTTATGACACAGTCTGTAAATCATGCTTAGCCTGAGCAGGTCAAAGTGTATCAGAGCTAAGCTCGTGCACAGCAATCCCTACCCAACCGGATTTCTATATACTCCTGGCTGGAGAGAAGCGCAAGAGTAAAATGCCTTGCCAAAGGAAACAAAATCATAAAAAAAAGTCTAAAATTAAAACCATTGTACCATGATGCCTCTAAAAATATCAGGTGGTTCAACTACATGTAATAAGGGTTTCCAACGAATAGATGAATCACAGTAATTGTCATACAAAGTGAGGGTGTGTCTGTCTGTACTTACAGATAAATACTTGAAATCATAAAGTGGTCTAAATATGTTATCTTCTGCAACTGTTTTTTTTTTAACTGTTTATTTATTTGATTTAGTTTGTATACCTACTTGAGGCTTATGTGAAGAGTGTACATCATATTGCCCAGGGTTTTCATTTCCCTTGACGACCGTCACCTCGTGTTCCTTTGGCGACTGTCACCTCGTGTGTTGTGTAACATACATGTATGCGTTGATGTAAATTGTGATGCCCATTGAGTACAAAGCTCAGCCTGACAACTGGTGTCTGCTAGAGTAGACCATGGAGCTAGCTCCATGAGTAGACACAACAGATTAATGAAATTTGGGAATACTTGTCAGATAGAAAATGATGTATTAGTCTTACTGCTGGGTGAAATGAAAAATCTGTAGACAAGTGTTTAACAGCAGCAATAGTGATTTATCAGTTCACTGGGAATCGATCCAATCTAAGTCGGAAAGAAATCAAATGAAACATTACTTGAATTTCATTTAGCAGTTTCTGTTAAATTCTATGTACATAGTGTGCCTCATCTTCCCCAAACTTGTATAGCAGCAGCTTGTCTTTGATGTTTCTCACTGCATTTCAACTCATTAACATAATCTATGAGATCCAATGACTAGACTGT